CATTTCAGATAACCAATGAATCGTTCTACTGGAAATGAAATGCAATTGGGGGAGCACTGCGCTTAACACCTAGCAAATGTACGATGTATTCGAATTTCAGAGTGTGTGCATCGGATGCAGATCCATTTTTAATCTCATGGTGGTGTTTTTGGTAGAACCATTATGTAACGCCCTAGGCTCCTCACCTAATTTAGCTTGGCGCTAACATATATGCACACAGAAGACAACTATACTGGAGACCTGTAGGCGTATTAAGCTATGGCGATGCAGGATTTAACAGCATTGACCACACATTCGTTTCCCTGGCCCTACTTGATCCGGGCGTGAGCGCAGACTGCTTGGCTTACCAATCAAAATATAACGTCGGTGCTGGTCACGCATAACCTGGCTGATGCAGTAAGAGTACCACGTTGAAAAGAGGCCATTACAGTGCGTCTGTTAGTCTTCAAATATGCTCCCGTGGGAACAATGTGGTCCTGCCAGTCACCAACACTTCCATCTAAGCCCATCGCGTTATAGCCATGCACACCAGATTTATTATAAGGAACAGCGTGTGAATTTGCCGTGAGGATGAAGCAACCAGCAGAGATCCCACTTCCTCTTCTTCCATATTCTGTGCACTAATGTCCTATCACAGTCGCCTTGTCAATTGACGATTACTAATTTAGGCAAAGGGTCGCATCCCAGGTATGTGTATAGGTTGAGAAGAAGCCGTGTCGATCAACGAAATCATAGTTATATCAGTCTGAGCTTTCGAAGTCTTGCGGAAGGCCATCGTCAGAGATAAAATCGGCAACGAAAGCAAGTAACATTTATGGGAGGAAGGGGCCAATTACCCGTGAAAGGGGCGGGGGGGGCGAGGGACATAACCAATTAACCAACAATGCCGTGCCGTATGTTTCCCTGCGCAGGTATCTCCAGACTCACGGCACTGGTTGTTAACTGGTCCTGTCCCTCCCCCCCTCACTGTCCCTATGACGGTTAATTGGCCCCTTTCCCCTATAAATGCCGCTTGCTTTCGTTGCCGATTTTATCTCTGACGATGGACTCCCGCAAGAATTCAAAAGCTCGGCCTAATAAAACTATGATTCC